TTCTGCCTTGTGTTAATATTGCACCAAGGCTTTAATAGCGATGGGTAGAACTCCCCATCGCTGTTTGGCATGGTTCTGGAAGTAGGTTTGGCTTAGGGACCGCTTACCCATCGATGGGAGGATCTTCCCATCGCTGGGTGGGTGGTTAGTCAAGAACCCATGGTTTTTGCCTTAACCACGGCCTAGCCAACCGATGCGAAACCCGACCGAAAAATTCAAAGTTCTCCAAAATAAAAACCAAGTGTTTAAAACACTTATTTGATGTATTTGGATAAGAAATCACGTAAGACACTTTAAAAACCACGTCACTTGAGTGAAAACCACGGCTAGCCAAGTTTATGCCGTTTTGAATGATATTTGTCAAATGACCAAAAGCAAAAGATGGTTTTCAAGGTGTTTTTGTTGGAGAACCGTTTAAACATGCCAAATAGTGAAAACCAATCATAAAAAGTTGAAAACCACTTGGTTGGTTCGGACGCCAAAAACCATAGCCGATAACTGAGGGCCGAACGCCGGTTTCTGAAAACCCGAACGCTGGATGGCTTGGTTTTTGGTTTGGGCGAACACCAAGTGTTTTTAATGACTTAAACATGTTTGAAAAACATTTTTATGATTTAAGAAATGCAATGAAGGATTTTAGCCTAAAGAGCCAAGGTGTAAAGATTGGGTCGGTCTTGATCACAATGAAGACCGACTCAACGACACTAAGACTAAGGTCTTCGTTCTTGGTCTTCTTTTAGCTCTTGTTCTTGTCTTCCTTCTTCGCCTTGTATATTCAAAGTTTGACTTGATCATGGCGGTTTGACATTATCAAAACATGTCATAAAAACAAACACGGCTTTAGTACGAAAACGTGACAAGTCTGTGTTTCAACAACTCTCTACCAGATCCTACTAGTATTGAAGAATTCACTCAATTTATGGATATGGCCAATCTCTCACCTATCAACCCTGAAAACAACTTCCTCACATGGACTGGTAAAAGAGGAAGAGGTAAGATATGGAGACGTTTAGACTGGGTTTTTGTCAATCCACCCATGCTTCAACACTATGATAGTGTCTCTCTCCAACATCTCAACAAGACAGGCTTAGACCACTCCCCCCTTTTGGTGAAATGCTCCACATTCAAGGAGGTTGGTCCTAAACCCTTTAGATACATCAATGCCTAGGCAAACAACTCCTCTTTTTTGCCACTCATTGAAAAATTTTGGAAAGAGAATCCTAATGTTGGTGGAATGTTTGGTCTTCATCAGAAGTTTAAAAGGCTCAAAAAGGTTCTACAGGCATGGAACAAAGACACTTTTGGCAACATTTTCACTAATCTATCTCAAGCAGAGGAAAATGCAAACATTGCTGAAATCAACTTTTCTAATGACCCCTCCCCTGCAAACAGATAGATTCTTTCTAAAGCAAAGGCTGAGCTTCAATATGCAAGCAACAATGAGTTAGCCTATTGGAAACAAAAATCTCACATTAACTGGATGAACCTTGGTGACAGAAACTCGAAGTTCTTCCAATCCTATGTCAAGGGCAGAAGACAAATGCTCAAAATTAGAAAAATCAAAGGGGAAAATGGAAGAAATATAAAGGACCTTGAGGGAATCAAGAGAGAAGCTGTGAATCATTTCTCAAAGGTCTTCACTGCCTCTCCCATTCAAAACATAGATGAAATCCTAAAGCATATTCCAATTAAATTTTCAGAAGAAGACAACTACATGCTTCATGCCTTACCTGACATCAAGGAGGTGAAGGAGGTAGTTTGGGCACTTAATCCAAACAGTGCCCCTAGTCCAGATGGATTTAATGGAGATTTTTTCAGGAAAACTTGGCATATTATTGGTCATGAAATCTGTATGGCTTCTAAAGAATTTTTTCTTGGTGTTTCTGTCCCTACAGGTTATGGGGCTACCTGGCTGTCCCTAATCCCCAAAAAAGTAGATACAGCTTCATTTGAAGTCTACAGGCCAATCTCTCTGTCTACTTTTGTTAGTAAAATTAATACTAAGATCCTAGCTTCAAGACTACTCAAGGTCCTGCCTAAGATTATCTCTAGCCAACAAATTGCCTTCCAAAAGGGTAAAGACATTGCTGATCATATTCTCTTGGTGGAGGAAGTGTACCATGAGATCAACAGAAAAGTGGAAGAAGGTAATATGATTGATGGGATTAACCCGATCAGATGGCGGACCAAGAACGTAATATGAATCAGGAAGATCACTCGATAATATTCCTCTATTGAGTATTCAATTGTCTCATGCTTTACAATGGCGGGTTCTTCCCCTTTTATAATATCTCTAATAATATAATTAAAATTATACAAAATGGAAAGGATTATGGAGATCATGGGGTTGTGATTCCCTCTTTTCGATCTCGTTCTCTTCCCACTCCGTATATGACCCCATGACGTGGGCCACGTGTCCCACTCCTTTCTTGGACTGGGTCACCTTAATTTATTCCATGACTGGGCCGTCTTTCTCTATCTGCCATATGCGCAATAATGGGCTCGGCCCATTATCTCCATCTGATTTTATACCTTTTAGGTCATTATAGGCCTTTATTTGGGCCTGGAGTCGGGTCTATCAGACCCGATATCCATCACAAGCCCCCTAGTTTTCTGGCGACGTGTCGCTAGAAAACTAATGATGAGCCACTTTCGGTTTTCGCGTCGGATCAGAAACGTCGCACTCGAGTACCTCGGGTCCATCCTTTCAACGGATAAAAACCCCTTCTGGACTCGTCTTCTTCTTCTCGCTCCTAGATCTTAACCCGACCCGAATTCCGACTGCGATTTCCCTCAAAATCTTTGCTTCTTTTCCCAAAATGGCTCCCACAGATCCCGAAACCTAGACCCATGGGCCCTCCATTATCAAGGAGAACGAACTTCGAGAGGTAGCCGTGCTCCTGGGCAAGGGCTTCCGGGTCCACCATCCCGATGCCATTGGGGGGATTAGTTTATCCTACAATCCAAACCCCAAAAAATATATGGTCATGCAGTACCACTGTGTGGAAAATGGGTTTAGGTTGCCCCTCCACGGTCTGCTTCGCGACCTCTGCCTCCATTTCGGATTCGCTCCAGGTCAATTGACTGCCAACGCGCACAAATATGTCGCGTTTTACATCCTGCGGTGCTGTGCCCTGGACAGAACCCCGAAATTGGATGAATTCCTTCTCCTCTTTAGTATTGGTGGTTTCCCCTTCTACAGCCTATATCCCCACAACCATTTCCCAATTTTTGAGAAGGTTGAGTTCTAGCATGAAAAATGGTCACTGAGATACTTCGTTATCGAGTTCCCGGCTCACAGCCCCCTTGATCTACCGGGTGTTGTCCTCCACCGTTCCATTTCCCGGACGAAATTTGCTGCAGCAGAATTAGCGGAGGGAGTGTACAACGCTTTGAGAGAAAAAGAAGGTTTAATTTCACACTACTCCCTTCAAGACGCCCAACTGTACAAGAAGGCGGGTTTTTACTACCCCCTGGGTCCTGACCCGTTTCCATTCGAAGGCGCGCCTTCTCCTGAGAAATCGAAGGCTCCTTCTGCTGCAGAGTCCAACCCGGCCATGAGCTCTCCCGGGAATCAATCCCAAGGCAACTCCACTGCCTTGGCTATCCGCAAGCCGACTGCCGCCTTGGAGGCCATTCCCATCTCAGCCATTCCTGGGCTTAGGAGGCCAATTCCGTCCCAGAAGCGGCCACGGGAGGGAGTCACCGATGATGATTTCCTTCCCAAGAAAAACAAGGGTGATGATATTTATGTTTCACCCAGCCCCCTGTCTGCTTCCTCTGATACCCAGCACACCATCCCTGCTGCCACATCCGGGGGTTTGGAGCTACCCCACCCGGATATCTTTGATTGCGAGGGAGAAGAGCTCCGAGACCAGTCTGCGCTCAAAAGGCCCGTAACGCAGCCTCAGCCTGAGGCGTCCGGTTTCTCCCCACATACCACAACTATCCCCCAAGTGATGGAGGAGGAAGGGGTGAGGCGGCAAGAACCAGAGTCTTCCCCCACAGCAGAGAAGGAGGTCGAAGTGCAGACAGAAACGGAAATCCCCTCCTCGAAGAAGAATGAGGTTGGAGAGCAGAGGGATACTAAAGCTCTTCTAGAAATGGAGAGAGAGATTGAGAAGCAACCGGAGCCGGAGGGACAGTGTTCTACGGCCACACTCCCTGCCCCCAATATCCCCATCCAGCGTAAGTTCACATCGCAAACTTACCCCGCTTTTACAGAGGGTTGGGCAGGCTTTTCCCGCGGTTTGAGATCCTTACAGGCTTCCCATTGGACTATCCAGGGGAATCTAGAGAAGATGAGGGAATCAGTGCAGGAGCCTGCGATTCCCCAGGCTCGCCCCGGCTTGCTTGCCCTCAATGCTCTGCACTTCATGGAACAGGTACTCTGTCTCTTTCTAAAATTTCTTTATCTCCTTTTAGGTTAGTTCTTTTCTTTGAATTCCCTTTCCTTCTTTTAGGCCTAGCAATCACTCCTCACCTTGACTGAGGAGTACCTGGGTGGAGCATCAGGGAACTATCGGGCTGTAGTGCTCCTGAAGGAGAAGGCATTGGCTGCCAAAGCTTTACAACAGAAGGTTGACTCCCTGGAACAACAGGTCCGGGTCCTTCAGGAAGAAAATGCCCGGCTCAAGGCAGATGGCTCAATGGAGCTAACAGCTGAGAGGTCCAAGGTCAAGTCCCTGCAGGAGCAGATCGCTGCTTACCAAAGGGAGACTCAGGATCTTGAAGCGCAATTTGACAGACTCCGGGCACAAATCTCCATCCTGGAATCAAGGGCCTCACCTTCAGAATACAAAGTGGGAAATCTAGAAGCTGGATTGGTTGAAAAGGAATCCCGGATCTCTGAGCGGGAGAATTCCCTCCAGGAGGCCAAGCACGAGGGTTCCCGCTCTAACGAATTCGCCCTCTTCCTCTTTCTCCCCCGGATTCTCGTGTGGACCCAGGGTCTTGACTTTATCTTTCTTTGTTGATTGTTGCATTTTGCTTTGTAAGATTTAGATGGCTGTAACTTGATAACGCTTGACGTATTTCCGTCTTCACAGACTCCTTTTATTAAGCTAATTGTTCTCCTTTTGGGATTCTTGTTCTGCCCTAGGACTTAGCAGATTTTTTTTTGTTCCGCCCTAGGACTTAGTAGATTTTTTTTATCCGCCTAGGCTTTGGGCTTCACTGCATTCACAATCTACTGTTTTTCTTGTTTATCATTGCGCTAAGTGACTGGCCCACTTTGATTACGCCGGGCCCAGTTCACCCTAGCCCAATAATAAGATGATGCAACCCTAGCTTTCCTCGGGAATCCGCAACTGCCTCCCAATCGGATAAGCGCTCTGACTCCGCGTCCTTTGCACTTCTCCTTTGGGATTACTCGCCTATTTAAGGGACTAGGCTGAACCCCTTGATCACCACAATCACATTCTCAACATGGCTAATAATGCCAACAGAGTTGTCTTCATTGATCTTACTATTTCCGATTCTTCTTCTGATTCTTCTTCGTTGGCACTCCCTTCACTCGGGGCCCCAACGCCTGAGCTCTCTTCTGGGCCTTCTCTTGCCTCTGAACAATCGGTGACTTCTCCCTTGCCCAGGGAGGAGAATCACCCTCATCTCCCCCCACAGGTGTCAGGGGTGCTCCTCCGAGTCCCGACGTGCTTCTTAACGGTACCAGGACGGAAGCCTCTTCTGGCCGTCCTGGCACGTCTCGTCCGCAGAAGAGATGCAATCCCCACTCAGGAGCTTCCCGGTTGGTCTCTGGTGCGAGGCCTTCCTCCCAGGGTTCCCCTTCCCCTCAGCAGACATATGGACAGCCACCTGAGGAGTGGGGGGACTATGACATGGGGGGAAATAGGCTTCCATTTATACGCAGGGAAAAGGTCGGAACTTTTCGGGACCCGCCTCCACCTTCCGTATAAGTGGAAACAGGCCTTGAGTCCCTCCCTTGTGCCTCATCGTCCTCCTTGTTCGTCTTCATGGGAGTGTCGGCATGGTACCCACGGGGGAATGGCTTTCAATCCCAACCCGTTAGTACCCTTTCGCCCCTTTTGAATGTCATCAAGAGAGAACGGTGGGCTTTCTTCACCCCCCGCTTTGGGGTTCTTTTTTGGTTCAGGCAGGGAAGCAAGGGTCAGCGAATACACTCCTTCAAATTCCAGAAGTGTTGATCCGCCTTGCCTTCAGCTTTTTCCAGTGGTAGAATAGAAGTAGATCAGGGACAAAGTTCATTTCTGTAACCCAAAAGAATGTAACCTTCCATTTGAGTTATTTAATGAAAGTCTTTATCTCCCGTCTCTTTTTTGTTTTGTTGTTTGATCAGGGATAAGGCCCATTACTGTAACCCAAAAGAATGTAATCTCCTGTTTGAGCTATTTAAATGGAAAAACATTTATCTCCTGTCTTTTAATATAATTTTATTGCACGTGGCGTCATCTGCATGGAGTAGAAGTCTAAGTTTATTCAGCTCCTTACCTTCCAAGGATGACGTCTTTCCCCAAGCACAGATGGGCCCAATTAACTAGCCCATGCACTTAAGTGGCGAGAAACCCCCAGTCGAACATCGAAAATCTTCGACCGCATCCTTCGCCAATCGCTTAGTCTTTCACGTCTTCCAACCGCATTCATTACTTCCCAACTATCCCTTCCCCTTTGACTATAAATGGGAAAGGATAATTAACTGCCAGTCCATCCCTTTCTGACTTCTCCGCCATGGCAAGTAAGTCTGTGAGTAAAGTCGTCATCGACTTAACCCTCTCTGGGACATCTTCTTCTTCGGATGATGATTTCTCCGTCTCTCCAGCCCAAACCAACGACATGGCCGGGTTGAGTCCTGGCGAGTTCTCAAGACTCTACCCAGCGCCTCGCCTTCCTGCACCATCCCCTCCTAGTCCACCCAGGCTTCCATCCGGGAGGATAGACTAGGACTCTATGACCCTCCAAGACTTCGCCTTGTACCAGAGGATGTGCAGGGCTAAACTCGGACGCTCTTTACCAATTGTCGAGGCGGAACCTTCATGTGGAAGCCGAACTGCTTCCCCACACTTGCTGAAGTCTCCCAACGATGGTTCTTCATTGAAGGGAGCAGCTCTCTGTCCTAGGACATGGGAAGACTATGACATATGGGAAATCGCCGACTCCTCAACGTATCCCTCGTCAAAGGGAAGGTGCCCATGGAAGGGTCCCCCACCTCCTTCTTGTTGACTGCATGGATGCAATAGGCCCTCCTTCAGTTCCTAGCCTCTTGCAAATCAAATTTCTTTTATTTGTTTTGTATCAAGGGGCGTTCACTTGTTTGGTCCAGGGATCTTCCCTGCATCCAAACTAAGGAATGTTCCTTAATTTCAAAGTAGGAATCATCACTGTAATTCAAAGATATAACCTCCGAATTAGCAATTGATGAACTCCCTTAATTTCTTTTCTTGTTTATTTTACTAGGAACCTTTATTGTGAACCAAAAAATGTAAACTTTGGCCCATTAATATGGTCCTTAATAGTCATTTCTTTGCACCTCTTTCGAATGCATGTACATAATTCATTTTCTATATAAAATCTCATCTCCCGGGGTTTGGGCATGCCAGGGGCACTTATCTCATCTGCCCCTGGCCTCCCCTTCCTTCGGGTTATGGCATAATCTTATCTACCTTGGATCGGTTGAGCTCCAACCCTCGAAGTTTGTTTGCTCGGTTGATCGATGATAGTGGAATACTAAGCTTCAGCCCTCGAAGTTTGCTTGCTGTTCTTCCTGAATTCTAGGTTGTAATGGCCCTCAAAGTCCAATCCCAACCCATCCTTCATTTTCGACGGAGGCATAAACTTATCTACCTCCCCTATCTTTAGCAGGTGGCATAAACTTTTCTACCTCCCTGTAATGCGGGTCTATATCGCCCGGGGGTGCTTCCCCCCCCCCCCCCTTTTTTTTTGTTTTTAAAGAAATCTATAGAACAATGAAATTGCAAAGGCACTTGGTTGTAAAAGAAAAGAAAAATTTTACTGAAACAAACATCTGAAATTAAAAATAGAACGTTTTTACAAAATGATTTCACTGATAAAATTTGACCAAGTGCTCCACATTCCATGTCCTATCAATTTCTTTCCCCTTGGGAGTCACCAACTTGTAGGTACCTGGGCGAACAACGGCCTTGATGATATAAGGTCCTTCATACTTCTTAGCCAGCTTCCCACCCTTAGTTGGTTGACTTTTCTCCCGTTTCCTCAGAACATCATCCCCCACCGGGAACGCCCTTGGTTTCACCTTGCTATCAAAGTAAGATTTCACCTAGCGACGATAATTCTCTGCCCGGATCCGTGCTTCATCCCGTCGTTCCTCTACGAAATTCAGCTCTACGGCCTGATTCTGTTCGTTTACCTCCGGGTTATATTCTATCTCTCCTGGTGGGGATTAATACCTCAGCGGGAGCCCGGGCTTCAAAACCATAAGCTAAGCCGAAAGGAGTGTCACCCGTGGCTCTCCTTGGAGTCGTCCTATATGTCCACAGGATTCTGGGTAGTTCATCTACCCATTTGCTTCCTTCTGAAAGTAGCTTCTTCTTTATTCCGTCTATGATTGTTCTGTTGACATTCTCCACCTGTCCATTAGCCTGAGGGTACGCAACGGACACTTTTGTGTGCTGAATTCCCCAGGTTTTGAGGAAGTCTTGAAACTCTGCTTCCTCAAACTGGGTTCCATTGTCAGATATGATCTGCCTCGGGACCCCAAACCTGCAGAGTATATTCGTTCCGACGAAGTCGATCATCTGCCTTCCGGTAATCCCGGCAAGTGGCTCAGCTTCCACCCACTTCGTGAAATAGTCTATCGCTACCACAATCCACCTTGCCTGCCCAGCTCCTTTCGGCAGGGCTCCCACAATATCAATCCCCCATCTTGAGAAGGGAATCACAGAACTGATGGGCGTGTAATTCGTGGCCGGCCTCCCGGGTATATTCTGGAAATGTTTTCAGGTCGGGCACTTGCGTACATACTCTTCGCAATCCTTCCTCATCGTTGGCCAGAAGTATCCTTGGATAATAGCCCTTCTGGAGATGGAGTAAGGACCCTGATGTGCAGCACATACTCCTTCATGTATTTCCTCCAGTAGTGCCTTTGCCTCTGCTGCCCTGAGGCAACGGAGTAGAACACCGTTATAAGATCGCTTATAGAGGACTCCATCCTGTACCTGGTAGGTAGGTGCCCTCATTCGCAACAGACGTGCTTCCTCGGGATTTTCTGGGGCTTCACCATCCTCAATGTATTTGGCCAACCGGTCCAGCCATTCCGGAGGATCAGGTGATACCCAGATCACCTCATTGCTGTTAAGACTTGGGGTTACCAGTTCCTCGACGGTTGCTAATTTGCTTATGTATTCCGGTGACTCTGCGCTGAGCTTGGATAGAACATCGGCCTCTGCATTCTGGGCCGGGTGTATATGTTCAAGCTTAAACTCAAACCTCCCCAACATCTCTAAAGACAAGTCTCGATACCTCTTCATCCTTTCTTCCTTTGCTTCAAACTCCCCTGTGATTTGTCCCACCACTAATCAGGAGTCGCTGTAAACCTGAACCCTGGATACTCCCATCTTACTAAGAATCTTCAATCCGTTGATCAGGGCCTCATATTCAGCTTCATTGTTGGATACGCGGAACTGAAATCTGATAGCGTAATAAATCCGGAATTTTTCTGGGGTGATCAAGACGATCCCTGCTCTGCAAGATCGAGACCCAAAAGATCCATCAATGCTCATTACCCACCAGTCCTTTTCCACCCGGGTTTCAACCCGGGTTCTTGTCATTTCTCTGGCGGTGCACTCAACTTGAAAGTCGGCGAGTGCTTGCCCCTTGATGGATGGGCACGGCCTGAACTCCACGTTATACTGACTAATGAAGACTGCCCACTTGGTCATTCGAGCAGATGCCGCAGGGCTTCGGGTAAGTGACGCCAAAGGCTCATTCGTGAGGACAACAATCCGGTGAGTCTGAAAGTACAGAGTTAATCTCTTTGCTGTCCAGAAGACCGCCAACATGGCTTTTTCCGGACGGGAATACCTTAACTCTGCATCTCTCAGGGTCTTGCTGATGTAGTAGACCGGATGTTGGGCCCCGTGCTCTTCCCTTACAATCACAGTACTTATAGCACAATCTGCAATTGCCAAGTATAGAGTCAAAACATCTCCAGGTTCCGGCTTAGACAAAACCGGTGGGCTTGAGAGATATCTTTTTAGTTCTTCGAATGCTTCTTGGCATTCCTGTGTCCATTCAAAGGCCGCTCTCTTCTTGATCACCGCAAAGAATGGGTGCGCCTTCTCTGCCAGCTTCGAAAGGAAACGATTCAAGGCCGCCAATCTCCCTGTCAGCCGTTGAACTTCCTTTGCTGTCTTTGGGGGTTCCATCTCCATAATAGCTCTTACTTTCTCCGGGTTTGCCTCAATTCCTTTCCGGCTAACCATGTGTCCAAGGAATTTCCCACCCTCAACAGCAAAAGTACTCTTCTTCGGGTTCAATCTTAGATTTACCTTCATCATGATTTCAAAGACCTCCTCAAGGTCCCGGACATGGTCTCGGGCCTCTTTGGACTTGACAATCATGTCATCAACATACGCTTCCATGGTCCGCCCTAAGACAGCCTTGAACACCTGAGAAACCATCCGGGTATATGTCGCCCCGGAATTTCTCAGCCCAAAGGCCATCACCAAGTAACAGTACAGCCCTTCTGGGGTCATAAAACTTGTCTTTTCAGCATCGGCCGGATGCATCCGAATCTGATGGTAGCCACTGAAAGTGTCCATAAAGCTCATTAACTCTGACCCGGCAGTCTCATCCACCATCTAATCAATGTTGGGGAGAGGAAACGGATCCATGGGAAATGCCATGTTCAAATCTGTGTAGTCGACACACATCCTCCACGAAGGGGGCTTAGGCGCCAGGACTACATTTGCCAACCAATCTGGGTACTGCACATCTCGGATGTGCCCGATGCTCTGCAAGGTTGCTACCTCCTTCTTCACGAAATCTCTTCTTTCCTGCGACAAATGCCTCCGTTTCTGCTTCACTGGTTTAGCATCCCGCAGGACATTTAGGCGATGAACTGCAATCTTATGATCCAGCCTTGGCATATCAGCTGGATGAACTGCAATCGTGATCTGAGTTCAGCCCCCAGGCCCTTGCCAATCCTGACCAACCTTCCCGGCGTGCCTGGCTCCAAGTCCACTTCCTCAATGTCGCCAGCAACTTCTACTCTGGGACGTTTTTCCTCAGCCCTCAGGAGCTGCGCAGTCACCTCTCCCACTTGGGTATCGTACTTGACCGGCTGTTTGGTTGCCTTCAAATACCATGCCCGGGACACTCTCAGAGATCCCCTAGCAACTCCAACTCCGTGGGGGGTTGGAAATTTTATGCACAGGTGACGAGGCAAGATGACACACTCCAAATCTTCCAATCCGGGTCTGCCCAGGATAATGTTTGTGTTGGAGATTATCCCCACCACAACAAACTCCATGTCTAACTTCCGGGTAGCCTTAGTATCCCCTATCTCAACCGGGAGGGTTATCACCCCCTCCGGTTCAATAGAGTCACCGGTAAACCCGGTCAGTGGAATCTTGATGGGTGATAATTCATCCCTTGTCAATCCAAGAGCCTTGTACGTATCCATATACATGATATTAACGGAGTTTCCCGTATCCACAAGGGTTTTGTGGATCAGTAAGTCCATTATATCAACAGTAATCACTAGGGCATCCCTATGGGGGACCCCTGTTTCCGGGAGATCAGCATTAGAAAATACAATTGGCTCAGTTTTCAGCTTCTTACCTTCTGGGACCAGCACCTTGTTGACCATCGCTGCATTAGCCCACTTCTTCCGGCTTGTGGCTGAGTCTCCGCCAGTATTCCCTCCAATGATGAAGTTACACCCGTGGTGTCTCTTCTGGCGATGCGGTGCGGGTTCCGAATCCTCCTCTTCGTCTTCAAGCCCAATGTGGCGTTTCTTCCGGGCCTCAGCCTGAGCCACTTCTTTATCTTTGCGCTTTCCATTCTGAGCATTCCCGGGATTTCCCGCATCACTATCTTGCACGAATTTCTTTAGATGACCCCGGCGGATTAGCCTTGCCATCTCATTCTTCAGAGTATAGCAATCTTCCGTGTTGTGGTCATTCTTGCGATGGTAAGCACACCACTTTCAAGTATCCTCCACATTACAGACCCTTTGAGAATAGGTTGGATAAGTCATAAGTCCCTGCTGTGCAGCGTGGGCCATGACCTCAGCCACCGGCAATGTGAAGACTGGATTGGTATATTTGTGCTTCTCCGAGGTCCCAGGACTTATGCCCTTTGGGCCATCCGGGAAGCCCTACTTCTTATTTTTAAACGGCTTCTTATTCCCAGTCTTCTCTTCTTCTTTGGGAGTCTTCTCTTTCTTCTCCTCCTTTCTTTCTTCCAGGGTCACGTACCTCCCCGCCCAGACCATTGCTTCTTCGAAGGTATCCGGGGGATGAATAGTAAGATCGGTGTGAAGGAGTCCATCCTGTAATGCCGCTGTGAACATAGCCAACCTGGATTTATCATCGGTTCCTTCAACCTCCCTGGACTCTTTCCTCCATCGGATAAGGAAATTCTTCAAGGATTCTCCATGCTTCTGTCACACCGACGCCAAGTGAGTGAAATGCTTTTTGGGACGACAGTTCCCGGCGAAATGCTCTAGGAACCGTAGCCCCAATTCATCCCATGTCCGGATCGATCTGGCAGGGATATGGTTGACCCAATCCGCGACCTTGCTGTCAACTGTCTGCAAGAAGCACCGGCACATGAGTGCGTCACTGGCGTCTATGGCAATCATCACTTGGACATAACTGTTTATGTGTTCTTGGGGGTCTTACTCCCCATCATAACGCTTAACGAACGGCATTTTGAATCCATGCGGATATGGTTCCGCAAAGATCTCCGGGGCTAAGGGAGTATTCGTACGGGTAGTGAATACTCGACCCTTGTTTATCTTCCTCTGCATCTCCTGGATCTGCTGCCTCAAATCCTGGAACTCACCAGCTTCCGGCACCGGCGGCCCCAGACGCCTTTGTGCTGGGACCCTGGCTTGGCTTTGAACCTCGTCCTCCTCCAGATTCCTCAATGACCGGACCAGCACTTGGCTCGCGCCACGGGCGTTTCGCTGCCGGGGTTCGCGGTTAGAAGATGCCACCTAGCTAGCCTGGGGTCGTATCCAACCTTGGGGTGCCTTATCCGGATTCTTCCCCAGCCTCTCACTAACGTGAGCCTTCTGGCGAGATATCCTTTCAAAGACGGATCCCCGCGGGTTTTCGTTTCCTTCGCCGACGATCTGGCTTGCATCCTTGGCCCGGTCCTCATTCACCTTACTATTCCGGGCCAATTCCTCTGCCCGGCGTCTGGCAATGGCTCGTCTCTCCCTCTCAACCTCCTCCGGATCATGAAGCTCCTGGAGGATGGGAGAACTTGCGGTACGCAGTACCTGGCGGGGTTGCCCGGCTGGGATGTCCCGGATACCGGATGGACCTGGAAGAGCCTTATCCAATCGTTCCATAATGTTGGCCATCATGTTAGCCACATTATTCAATGTCGTTTCCAACCCATTGACAGGAACGATCATACCCTGCTCAGGGTTGTCGCTCCTCACCGTCGACTGGGCGGAAGCAGTAGTGTTACGTCTCGTCCTTCGTCCGGCCATAATCTCACAGCCTTATCTCACAGTTTTTCTCTCAACAAGAGCACCAATGATGGGATTAACCCGATCAGATGGCGGACCAAGAACGTAATATGAATCAGGAAGATCACTCGATAATATTCCTGTATTGAGTATTCAATTGTCTCGTGCTTTACAATGGCGGGTTCTTCCCCTTTTATAATATCTCTAATAATATAATTAAAATTATACAAAATGGAAAGGATTATGGAGATCATGGAGTTGTGATTCCCTCTTTTCGATCTCGTTCTCTTCCCACTCCGTATATGACCCCATGACGTGGGCCACGTGTCCCACTCCTTTCTTAGACTGGGTCACCTTAATTTATTCCATGACTAGGTCGTCTTTCTCTATCTGCCATATGCGCAATAATGGGCTCGACCCATTATCTCCATCTGACTTTATACCTTTTAGGTCATTATAGGCCTTTATTTGGGCCTGGAGTCGGGTCTACCAGACCCGATATCCATCAATGATAATCAAACTTGACTTATCTAAGGCCTTTGACAGATTGAACTGGGAGTATCTGAGGGGTATCCTGGGAGCTTTTGGATTCAATGAAAAAAATCAGAACCTCCTTCTAGCTAACCTGAAAGCCTCAAAATTTTCTATCCTAGTCAATGGATGTCCATCAGGGTTCTTTAAGATGACTGGAGGGGTAAAACAAGGGGACCCCCTTTCCCCTATTTTATTCATAATTGGTCTTGAAGGGCTTAGTAGGTCTCTCAACTTTCATCATCACTCAGGTTTTCTCACACACTTCAATGCTGGAAGAGTCCCCATCCCCACCCACCTAGCTTATGCAGATGACCTTGTCATCTTAACTAATGGTAGAGCAAGAAATCTACTTAGGCTCTCCCACATTATTTCAGATTTCCTCCTAGCTTCTGGGCAGAGAGTTAACTATCAGAAGAGTAAATTCTATACGTCCTCATATGTACAGCATTCAGCTATCTCAGCCAAAGAAAGAGCTCTGAAGATTTCACATGACAGAGATCGGGTACCAATCTGTAAAGGGATACTAAGAAAAGATGACTGTAATTTCCTTCTCCAACACTTTGACAATCTGCTATCTTCTTGGTACAACAAATCCCTAAAATCTATGAGGAGGCTCATTCTGATCAAATTCACTCTTACTTCCATTCCATCTCATCTTATGGCTGTTCACAACCTACCAAAATCAATATCTTCTACCCTGATGAAGAGGATGGCAAACTTCCTTTGGGGTTTCAAGGATGGAAAATCTAAACACCATTGGGTCTCTTGGAGAAAGGTATGTCAGCCATTAGAAGCTGGAGGACTAGGGATCAAACATATGGACAATATCCAAGAAGCAAATGCACTCAAGCTGTGGTGGAAAATTAACAAAAACAATGGGGAGTGGGCAGCTTTCATGAGGAAGAAATAATGGAGGGATGGCAAATTCAGTTGCAAACCAACAAACTCTCATACATGGAGGAGAATTGCTAAAGTTCATACACTGGCAATGTTAGGCTCTTTTATAGTCTCTAAATTCCCTTACATTTACTAATCTTTTGGTCACCATTAGTGAGAATTTGACTTAATTTAAGATCAAGAAAGAACGTTGACCATTCTGTAGGTTGGAGTGCAATTCTTGTGTTATTTTAGGTCAATTGGGTTAAATGTTGGGATCGGGCTAGACGACTCGAAGAGAAAATAACCACCCCGGCCCATTCGTTGAGTACAAGACGTAGGACGTTGGTGAGGAATTCAGGAACGAGGAGAGAGAGAGGAACGAGAAGAGAGAGAGGAACGAGAGAGAGAGAAGGTGAGATAGAAGGTCCACCAGAAGAAAAAAAACTCTGGCCACTTGGCATCATCCGGCGAGTTAGATCTCGCGATCATCATCATCTATCACACAATCACCAAGCGCTCCTCCTGATCAGGCGCTGTAGCCAAACAGAGGAGTCATCACGTTCGTAGGATTTGATCCTCGAACGCTGTCCAGAGGTAATTTGTTTCTTTTGTTTTCAAATTCGAGTTACATTCTTAATGTTTGAGGAGTATTTGAAATGTTGATTCATAACTGAACATGTGATTTCGTGTTATTCAAATCTGAGTCCTAACATCATGTTCGCACAATAATCTCCTGTGATCATGTGTTTATTTTGTGAATTGACTACCACAATCATGTCCCGAGAGTAATCCCTCTCTTGTCTGGTAGAAATTTAGGATCAGTCCTTAGGAATTTGTGATAATTGCTATGATTCGAGGTTTAGACAATTGTTGAAGGTTGTTTAACTCTGTTTTGTGCTTAGCTTTTTCGAATCTGTTGATTGTAGGTCTCATGCCTCAATTATTCAGTTTGAAATTCTTATTTGGGGTTCAACAACTAACATAAAGTGTAGTTGGCTGTCCAAGTACATTATATGTTCAAAAGGTCTTTATAATTGAATTCATGCTTATGTTGATTAGCATCAGGCTCATCCTGAGGTCATTAATATAGGTATAGGTCCTTAAGTAGTGCTCATCTCTCTTAAGGGCTAATATTTGAGGTGGAGACTTAGTTTCTTGCTGAGAGAGCTAAGTCTCACTTTTGTTCAACAACATGTTTAACTGAGAATCTGATTCTATACTTTGATCTAAACGACTGTTCCTAATTCCACCAGAAAAGCTTGTTCACTCTACTTGATAACCACAAATCTCTACCTGATCTTCTCTCTCCTTCTTTGATCTGTTCTCATTGTTTCTGTTAGAATCTGCTTTTAATACGTAGCACTAGGATCTTATGAACAAACCCCCCCTGCGTGTGTGTGTGTGTTGTGGAAACTGAGCAATAAATCAAGAGAAGATATAATAGAAGACAAATCTCCTTGTGGAAGAATGACGCTACTTACCACTTTGCTACCATTTTTATAAGTGTGTAGTAATTGGGGAATAGGTTAATTTGTTGTCACCTGACAAGTGGCTTACAAATTTTGGCGCCGTTGCCGGGGAGATTTGATCTCTTTTATCTTTTCTAACTGCCATACTAGGTCTCTATAAGTTGTTTTTGTGAACATCTGTGTCTTTTATACACTGATTAAAATTCACCAAAGTGCAAACTCTTCTTTTCTGCTGTGACTCATTGTTGTGTTGGCACCAACCCTTGTTTTAAGTGTTGTGTCAGTATCTGCCTTTTGATGCAGTTAAGAAGTGGTTTGGAGACCACAAGGGTAAGTGTTGAAATAAATTTGGAGAATCAGGTCAGTACTTCTGAGGTTGCTACTTCTTTTGATTCTGAATTAGAACCTGAAATTGAGGTAATTGTTTCCCCTTTTCAATCACATAATAACATGGCAACTTTAAGGGAACTAGCTGCACCTAACCTTCAGACCCAGCCCATGTCCATTACATATGCTGTTTTGGAAAAACCATTGAAATTAAACTCTGGATTTTTGAATATGCTTCCCAAGTTTCATGGCCTGCCTGGTGAAGACCCTTATAGACATGTTAATAAGTTTCTCATAACATGTGCTGCCATGGAACCTGAAGGAGTTCCTCAAGAGCAAATTAGACTTAGGGCCTTTCCCTTTTCAGTAATGGACAGAGCAAAAGATTGGCTGTACTATATGCCTCTTGGGTCTTTTACAACATGGCCATCACTGCATAGGGCATTCTTAGAGGAGTTCTTTCCTTCCTCTAGAATAGGATCTATTAGGAAGGACATCTGTGGGATAAAACAACTGGGGAATGAATCATTTTCTGAATATTGGAAGAGATTCAATAAACTTTGTGCTAGTTGTCCTCAACATCAAATCTCTGATTAGCTGCTCATCTAGTACTTCTATGAAGGGTTATCCCTAATGGATAGAAGTATGGTAGATGCTGCCAGTGGTGGTGATTTAGTTACTAAGACCCCAGAGGAAGCTAGGAATTTGTTCAATCTTATATCTCAGAACACACAACAATTTGGACTTAGGATTACTGAACCAAAAAAGGAAACTGAATCTCTTGCAGCTCTCACTAATCAGATTGCCAATCTCACCAAAATAATTGGTCAAATGATTAGTGTGGGGGGAATCAAGAAGTCAGTTTGCTCTGTGTGTAGTCTAGAAGGGCATACTTCAAAAGTGTGCCACAGTTTTCAAAATCAAATGCTTTCAGCTCCTGGTTTTCAATCTGAAAATTTTCAAAATTGTTAGGTCAAAGCTGCTTTTAACAATCAAGGACAGAGAAGGTATGATCCCTTCTCCAACTCCTACAATGAAGGATGGAGGGATCATCCAAATCTGAGATATGGTCCCAGACCAAATCCCCCAGGTTTTCAAAATACAAACAACAACAATTTTTCTGCAAATCTAAACAACCCTCCTGGTCCTGTTGATAAAACACACCAAATGCTGGAAGTAATTTTGAAAAAATGGAGGACAAGTTCTCTCTGGTTGATCAGAATATAAAGCTAATGCAAGAAAGGCAAACAGCCCAGGATACCTTGTCGAGTAATTTGCAAGCCCAAATTAACAACAGATTACCTGCTCAACCATTTCCTGCTCCTAAGGAGAATGTGAGTGCTGTTGTCCTTAGGAATAACAAGGTACTTCCTGAACCTTCCTTAGGGAATGTAAGAAGGGAACAGGAAATTATGGAAAAGGAACTTGACTCATAGAAAATCCAAGACCCTGAACTGGTCAACAATAAATCTGTTGTGACTCCTGAGCCACTTGACACTCCTAAGGCAGTTTACAAACCTCAGCCACCCTTCCCCAGTAAATATCAGAATAAAAGGAAGAACATTAAAGAACCAGATGATGAAATGTTTAAAAAGGTTCAAGTGAACATTCCTCTTTTAAATGCAATAAAAAATGTTCCAAAATATGCAAAATTTTTGAAAGAGATGTGCACTAATAAAAGAAGGCTGAAAGGGGATGAGAGGGTGAACATTAGTGAAAATGTTTCTGCCATCTTTCAAAAGAAACTTCCACAGAAATGTCAGGACCCTGGTGTGTTTTCTGTGCCTTGTAAGATTGGAAATTTGGAGAATACTAAGGCTTTACTTGATTTAGGAGCATCCATCAATGTCATGCCTAGGGAATTAGTTGACTAGTTGGGGGTAGGAGAACTAAAAGAGACTGGGGTTGTTATTCAACTTGCT